CTTTCTTGCAAGCAGCCTGAGTTTTTAAGCTTAGAAAAAAACTGTTAACAGGAAAAGTGGATAGACGCCATTAAGTCATTCTTACTAACTGAATTCTCCTTTCTTTTGGGGTCTGATTTTAGCCATGGATGTGTAAGGAATATTATAGACTTCTTTGAATTTCGATGCTGTGGCCTCTTTCGTCCTGTTATCGTGGACTGGACCAGGCAGTACACTATAGAATATGACCAAATATCAGGATCTGGGTACCAGCTTGTGTAACAGCGTCTGTATGCCAGGAAACAATGTTGCTGAGTGGTGCCTGAAGATTGTGTCTGTCCCTGTCTCTCTCCCTGGAATCCAGATCCTTGGAACAAATAGCATGCTATATGTAGGGCTAACCGTGAACTTTACAGCCTTTGTTCAGTACTTTTATTAACAAAAGCAAACATGGACAGAACACACTGCCACGTCTAGGAAGAAGAGATCACAAAGAGAATTTTCACGGTTCTTAATGTTTGAATTCATATCATACTCAACTTTTTGGTTTTGTTCTCATAACATTCTTCATGAAAAAGGGAATTTATTCTGTTACTAGAGATGACATACTGAGGATAAATGTTGTTATAACGAAAACTAAATTTATGTTATACAGCTATAGTATATTGTGCAGTACTTAAGAGTATTGCATTTAATTCCAAGAAAATTGTCTTAAATTGGTGACAGGTATTATGTACATTTTAGGTGTACATGTAAATACTGTGATGAAAATCATGTGTTTTTATTAGAGGTCTACTGTACTGTGTCCCAAAGGCACGGAAAAATAATGTTCATGGAAGCGGGCTCGCTCTTCTGTTGCCGCCAGCTCTTGGAATGCTGGCTTGTTTCTAGTTCAGTGAAATAATTTCTAGTAACCTTGCTCTGAGGTCTCATGGTCTGATAATAAAGCACTTGCATGAGTATACTAAGTCATAACATTCTATTGAAATTTAAAGCCCTACTAAGTGCATGATACACTGCATAGAATGTACACTAGCAGATACTGTCCAGTGAAGCATACATTAGGATTTACTTTCATGTGCAAAACAGCCCAATTTTTTAAAGAGTTACGGTGGATTTTCAACAAGAAGCAAAACAAATAAGCTAATGCAAAATTCTTTATTAATAGAGATAAGTGGATATGCTTTTTAAATTCTGAGCTGAAGAATAAATTGTAGACAAAATAATGGCATCGAGGCTAAAGACGGGGCATGAGCTCTGTGCACAGCACATGTGCACACATGGAAAGCTATGGAGTAGTCTTGTTGTAAAAATGACCTATCAGAAAGTGGAATTTAAACCCCAGGGTTGTTTTAATTTTTCCAATATGGAATATGTTTTAAAGTTGGTAATACTTTCTGAAGCCGTCTCAGATCTTACTGTTAAATGTGACACACTGATCACGTTCTGTTGCCGAGTTTCCACACCTCAGGATTGATTTGTCACTGCTTCCATGAATATTCTTTACAGGGAGACTCTGGTTAGCCCTCATACATGCTCTAGCAAACTGTGGTTCGCAACCTGTGGGAGGGGCTGGGGGGGGGTCAGACTGACATCCTAGACCAGTGTAAAGAATGTGTATCTGTATATAAATAATTTATCAAATAGTTTTCTCTGTGTCTATATGTATTAGTGTTTTTAAAGCTGCTCATTTCATTTTGTCCAACCAAAAAGCAAAGGGAGATATTAATGAGCTTCTAGTGATGTTCAATATTGCTGTTAATAGGCACTATCCCCTGCAAGTTCACTGCATGTCCAGTGCTAGGTCACATTAGTATGCCCTGTAAAGTGCTGGTTACAGGTATTAAAGCAATCTAGTGGTCCACCCGCCCTGCCTTAGGAAGAGGAGCAGCGGACAGTACATAGCTGATGCTCAGTATTTCCAAGTACTACCATTTTATAGTAATCTGTGACCATACGTCACCCCCACAAAATGCCCTTACTGTACTTGAGGGTTTTAATATTAGAATTGGCATACGTACTTTATTTTTGAAAAGGGAAGAGATGGGTGTGGGGTGGTGATAGCACTGTACCATTTTGTCATAGAATGTAAAAAAATTGGTCAACTGTACAAATGTCTGCTAGTTTTGGCTATAAATGGGGGGAAATTTTAGGTAATTTTTAAATTCAAAGTTTATAAAACGCTAGGATTTGTTTTAGTTTTATACCTCGAGTCACTTCATATGAAGACTCAGTTGCAGTTTTTATCAGATGCATTTTTATCAACAGTTAAAGACTGTGGTGGTTTTCTCAGTTTGAGTAAGAATGTTGTTACCATGTTCTTTCTTTGTGGTACAGTATTCTTTCAGTGCAAGAGATGCTTCTCAGTAAAGCAAACCCCTGTAGATGTGTAACTCCATGGAAAATATTTGCACGGAGCTTTCCGGACGGACTATTTCAGTCTCAGCGTGTCTGTAGCAGGATGGTCAGATGGTCTCCAGGCAACTGTGCAGCATGTTTCCTTACTCTGTAGGACTTGTATGTAGGGCCAGTTGAATCCAGTCCTCGGGCTGTTCGAACGGTTCCCTTTGAGGGATAGTTCTTACTGCTTGGATGGATTCCTTTAGGAAGTAGGGACTGAGTACTTTGGAGTTTTTTCATTCATATTTGTGTTGTTTGTAGGAGTTTATTTTAAATACTAGGCATAAAGAAGCATCCTACTTAAGCTATGAATGTTTTTGTTTTCTATTTTCTTTATTTATAACTGTGCCAAGTATTATTCTGCTACTTACTGTGTTACTCTGTGGAAAGAAAAACTTGTAAAGTGTTTAATAAACCCAGTCCTCCTTACATAATTTAAACCTGTCAAAATTTTGTAAAATATTAATCAGAATAAATATTGACTCTTAAATGTGGTGTTTGCTCAGTTCACTTAGAAGAAATCGATAAAACTGTGATATGAAGATTCTATAGTTCTGCTTTGATCAGATTGAAGTCAAGTGCAGGATTTATAGGGATTTGCAAAAGTAAATCTGTTAGTATTCTAAAATTTCAGATTCTCTGATTGTGCATAAATCTTTTTCAATAAAAAGACAACCTTTCTCCTTAGTGTATTTTAGATTCCATGGAGTTAATAAGGACCTCAGGAAGCAGAGAAATCTGAATTTTAAATGTAAGTATGTCTAAAGCATTAATAATCTTTACAAAATGGTTCCTACCAAACTTTGAACCTGGTTGCTTTAAATGCTAGGCATGGCAGACAAAAGCGTTTTCATTTTGCAAATTTGAAAGGCAAAATCATGATGAGATTCTTCCCGATCATTTGTCTCATTTTCTGATGTCTCGGAGACGGCTGCCGTCATCGGGTGGTGTCAGGTTGGACCCGCACTCAGTTCATAATTAACTGTATGGTGTGAGATAGAAGGGCTCCAGAACGATGTTTTGAACTCCATGTCCATGTGGTGCACTCCCCTCATTATTCACGTCTCTCTGTCCTTGTCAGGTTGGTAGGTCTTTCCTATCAGATGTCTGGTTCCAGTTTATAGAAATGTCTGAAAGGGTCTCAAGGCCAGCTCCGACCCTCGGAAAGCCCTTGCCTCTGACCTGGATGTGTGTCTTCCTGAGTAGCTTTCACTCAGATTAGTCACCATACATTGCTAGAGTTGTAGAGCTTTTGCTTTGCTGCTGGCTGGCCATGAGTCCACCTGCCTCTGCTTCCCAGGGAGCAGTGATTATAAATATTCATCCCCACCCCTGCCTTGATAAAGTTTTAGTAGATGGCACTATTTTAGAACTTGGTTATTTGCATTTATAGCATCAAAGGGGTTCTATAGATTTACAGCTTTACCAAATTTGGAAAGTTCTCAGTCATTCTTCAGATATTTTTCTGCCCCCAACCCCTCCCAAGAAATCTCAGTTAGACAGTTCCGGTTACTCACATGGGTAACACGGTAGCAAGTCCTGTATGTAGGACTTCCACTGTTGACTAAATGCTTTCTGTTTGAACAGTTGTTAGCACTTCCTGACAGTTTTTCCCTGCAGGGTGAGTGTTTCCATAACCTCCTCCCCGTTTCCCCCGTTCCATCTTTACCAGTTCTGGTGGCTTTTGATAGTTGGCACCCTCATCATAGATGATGTGCATTTGATATGAGTTTCCCCCTTCTTTTCATACCTAGTCATTTTTTTTATTAATGCTAGATATTTTTGTAAATGTTTTGAACTTAGTTTCATAATTCAGTTAAGTTACTTGGAAAAAGTTTTATCTTTTTGGTTTTGAATTTAAAATTTGTTAGGCAAGGCTAGAACGCTGCTCAGTTTAGTAATGACCTATGTGTAAAGTACACTAGCCAAAGCTCCAGTAGTGCTTTATCTATGGTCCTGCCTGTGGGGAGTGGGGACCCTGGTGAGTAGCTAAGGTTGACATGAGGTGTTTCACTGGGTCCCCTTACTTTTGAGACAGGGTCTCTGAACCAGAGCTCATTGGCTCAGCAGGGTGCTGGGGACCCAAACGTCTTTGTGATCGCACCTTCACCAAGCCACCTCCCCAGCCCAACTCATACCTAGGTGTTACTAATGGAGATGATTTCCGTCTACACTCTGGGGAGCTGTCCTGACAGAGTCACCACCAGCAGGCTCGAGTGGGGCAGAAAGGAAAGAGGTGCTGCGTGCTAACTGCCAGCTCTGAGCATGATGGTTGTAGCCTGGCAACCATGGGTGGTATCTTGACAGCTAAAGAGATCCGCCCATTTGTGTAAGGCTGTAGAAGCCTGGAGAACTGCTAGTGAGCACACTTCAAAAAAGAGTGTTTTGGGGTGCGTGTGTGTATGAAAATCTCAAAAGTAAAAATGTTTTTTAAAAACCTTGTTTAACTCCCAAAGTGCAAATGTTAGCCTGCTGCCTAAAGGAATTGATTGTCTTTTAAACAACTTGATGTGTGTGTGTTTAAATCAGGAGGCTGCTTTTCATTAGAGGAAGGAACCAGATAACTTCCCATCACCTAAAATCACAACAGCCCCTCTGGAAGGTTAATTAAGAGACAGTACTCAAATCAAGCCAGAATTTTATTTCACATGTAAAAGAATGCTCTTAGCTGCTGGTGAATCGGCGGGAGCGTGCAGTGCTGTCCTGTCCAGCCCGCCCATGCAGGCAGCGTGTGGTGATCAGTGCTGAGGACTGGCTGTTTGACAGTGCTGAGTGCTATAAGGCTGTCTGCATTTCATAATGGAGATTCTCTGTCCTGCTTACTGGGTTTACACCATTACTGAGCATGAACAAGGGCCCCTGCTCCTTGACCATAGCCAAATCCCTTGGGCCCAAAGTTCTTTGCATAGCACCCTACAAAGGAGAGGGAGAGTTAGTCAGAGTTCATTAACAAATGTCCAGGAATTTAAAAAACAAACTGAAGGCTCTGCCAGAGGTCAGAGGTCGATTTAAGATATCAAATGTGCTTTGCTGTGAGCATCCTTGTTTGAAGCAAGTCCAGGAATTCCCACTGCAGCGTAGTTGGGATCCTGCTGAGTTGCAAGTATGAAATCCAGCTAACGTATGTGTTACCTTCACATGCTCACACGATTGGCTTAAAGCAGGAGGTGTGGGGAGGCAGGGCTGAGTATGGGGCTCAGCCTGGTGAATTTGCCACAGAACCGCTGTACCGTTCTGCCACATCCCCAGCCCCGTGAGAGTTACGCACACATAGGAATGGAAGGGTGTAATCACTGTCCTAAGTTGTCTGGGTCTAATTTTCAAACAGTAACAGTATACTATGTCTCCTTTTCTGGTGATACTAACGGACAGCAGAGGTGAGGTTTTACCTTTACAGTAGATTTCACCTTCTTTCTCAGTCAGAGTTGTAGACTCCAGACTCTTCCCACACTTGGCGCATCGGAAGCAGTTTTTGTGCCAGGGCTGGAAGAGACAGCTGTGTTAGGATGTTTAAGAGGCTTGTTCCCTTTGGTATGATCTAGATGCAGCAAGTGGCTGGGGAAACCAGTGCCGAAGCAACCTCCTCATGCTATGGTTTGGCTCAGCTAGAGAGCTGGCCTTCCTGCCTGTCCGTATCCTAGCCACCCATAAAGGGCTGTCGGCCTGGGAGCATGCTCTGGCCTTGTCAAAAACCCAGTCTGCTCCTTGGAAGTTGCCGTCTTCCTGGCTTAAAATTTAACTGCTCGAAGGAATTAAGTGGTAATTTTTCCAAGTCCTCATATCTAACTACCAGCTGGTGTCCTGGCCCTGATCACACAGCAGAACCTGTACACAGCAGATTGTTCACAGTTCGGCCTTTCAAAGGAAAACAGGTTTCTCTAAACATGATAGTTAACCATGGTGCTCACTTCCAGAGATCAGTGATTCCGATGGAAATTGTGTTGGAAATACTTAAAAAACCAGAACACATTGCCTAAGTGGGAAATGGAAGTGTGTGTGTGTCTCTGTGTGTGTGTGCATGAGTGTGTGTGTGTGTGTGTGTGTGTGTGTACTACAGTTAGAGACAGCACCCTACCTGTGTGTGTGTCTGTGTGTGTGTGTGTCTGTCTGTCTGTCTGTCTGTCTGTCTGTCTTTATGTGTGTTACAGTTATCAGTTAGAGACGGCACCCTACCTGTGTGTGTGTGTGTGTCTGTCTGTCTGTCTGTCTTTATGTGTGTTACAGCTATCAGTTAGAGACAGCACCCTACGTGTGTGTGTGTGTGTGTGTGTGTCTGTCTGTCTATCTATCTTTATGTGTGTTACAGTTATCAGTTAGAGACAGCACCCTACCTGTATGTGTGTATGTATGAATGTGTGTGTGTGTGTGTGTGTGTGTGTGTTACAGTTACCAGTTAGAGACAGCACTCTACCTTCCCAGCTCCAATGATCTTCTCCGCAGCGTACACAGAATCCCCACACCTGGAACACTTCTCAGCACCTCCATATTTCTGGGCAAATTTAGAAGTGTTTGGATTCGTTGTGGGCCTGTGAGGTTGAGCACTGGAGGGAAGGAGAAAAAAAAAAAACTGAGGCGGTGTTTCTCCCAGTGTCTCCATAAGCTGATAGGAGCTTCAAAACTTCACTGCTGGCCAGGTGCCGTGTCAGAAGTTACAGAAAATAAACACCCCAAGTACTCATGGCAGGACTAAAACTGCCTGTGTCTGGATTCATCAGTACTAGAAAAAGTCAAGCCAAACCTGAAACCTGAGTGTCTTTCCCTCTGAGTGTGAACAGAATGTGTTATGTCCCTAGCATTGGCCTTGCCTCCACAGTTATTCTACCCCACAGGCAAAGCAATATAACTTGATCATAGCTTTGTGTTTCACAGGCGACTGCAAGGTCAAATGTAAACAATTCTGGCATTAAAAATACCCGCAAACACATTAGCTGACTTCAGTGGTTCACAGCATGTTTTCAGATTATTTGCTCACTGTATCTTTAGCAGGTGACATGTGACTCAACTGTTTTCTACATGGGAAATGCTTTTGGAAGTCTGTTACTCTGAGTTTTGTTTTTGTTTTTGTTTTTTTTTTTTTTTGAGTGTTACTCAGAGTTTTGTTACTCTGCTGTGCTGCTTTAGGGTTTCTCGTGGCAGGATGGTATTTTATCACTGTTGACGGGTTATGAAGGTGAATCATATGTAACAGGATTGATTTCCTTCTTTCATAAGCAGCCACACTAGAATATGCAAACATCCTCTTAGCTGAAGGGCATTTCAGAACCTGAAGTCAACATGTACACTGCGTGACAACTCTGCACTGTGTAATACCTGTTAAAATACTCACATAAGGAAAGTCAGAATCTTAATACCAAAGTGCTGATTTTTGGTTAAATTATTTGTCAAAGACTTCGCTGCCCCGTCAGCTCTCTTCACTCTGTGTTTGAGTCACGCAGGAGTTTTCTCCATGAATTGTTGGCTAGATTGCTGTCTTGGCGTTAATGTGCCTGTGGCTGATTCAAAGTATGAATTCACAGTGTGTTTCTGCAGTTGTACCTAACACGGGTGTATGTTCAAATCACTTCCAAACCTTTTGATATGATTATTTTTTAATGTGATCTTTAAAAACTTGCTAAAAATGACATCTAACACTTTTCTAATCCCAAGATTTTTCTAATCCCAAGAAAAAAATTCCCAGTATGTCATTAGAACTTTACAGAGATCACCGCCCCCTGGCCTTTTAACAACTTCACAGGTTATGGATACTACATATTACAGGTTTTAGAATGGTGGCTCAGATGTTAAACATCTTGCTGATGGGATAGATTACCTCAGTGCTACCTCTCAAGGAGCCCCTCGTGAAGCTCTTTAATCTGGGTATTAAAAGGTGGGCCATGGTGTGGAGTCATAAAGAAGACCTCTGGGAGAAGGAATTCCTTAGACCTGGTCCCAGAGGAAGAGCAGAACCCAGGCCAGCCAGAAGGAACAGACAGGATTACCGCTGCACACAGGGCGTGTGCACAGAGCTTGTTTATTGCTGGAAAAGGTGGAGACGGGGCAGCAAGAGCAGCTTCCTCCGTCATCGTCATTTTCCAGTTCTGGTTACAAACATAGACTTTTGGGGTCTTGGATGAATTTAGTTTTCACTGATGGGAGGATTTAAAGGTAGCACATATTTGGAAAAACTTGAAATTAAACCTTTGGAATCAGGGACACACTTAAGTCAGGGACTGAACATAAAAAAGTATAGTACATTGAACAGTGTCCACTAGGGCTGTGTTGCCTGTTTCGGGACCATACAGAGAGAGCCTATTTCAAAACCAGGGAGTGGGGAAAGAAGGAAGGAGATAGGAAGGACATTCCGAATGAATTCCTGAACGTGGGAGCGAAGCATTGGATAACCTAAACGGATGAACACTCTGGTCCTCTGGTATCTGAAGGCATGCTTCCCATTTGTCAACCCTCAAATAATCAGAAGCAGGAAACTGTTTTAATTTCTAAGTTGAAGGATCGTAATTTCCCGAGGAAACCGTGACTAAGGACTTTCCGTGGACGGCTTAATTGAATACAAGAAGCATCTCATAATTTAGACACTTATTTCAAGATACTTGATCTCCAAAGTACTATGGAATGTTAATTTAAGTCACGTTCCTTGAGACACTTAAATGTTTCCTGCTACCAGTTAAAATGCTATAAAACGAGTGCTAGAAGTCCCTGCAATAATTACTAAGATTTCTTTCTTTCTTTCTTTTTTTTTTTTTTTTTTTTTGGTTTTTTGAGACAGGGTTTCTCTGTGTAGCCCTGGCTGTCCTGGAACTCACTCTGTAGACCAGGCTGGCCTCGAACTCAGAAATCCGCCTGTCTCTGCCTCCCAAGTGCTGGGATTAAAGGCGTGCGCCACCACTGCCTGGCAATTACTAAGATTTCAAACACAAAACTGTCAATATTTTGATGTGAAAGAACAAAATAGTGTTTACATTAGTTATTAGTAGGGATTACATTACATCTTGCTTGCTTAGTTTTTAAGCTCGGGCTCCTGGCGCCTGAGCGACAGCAACTGTTCTACCCACTGTTAAGAGAGTAACAAACACTCTCTCACCTCTCTGGCTTGATGCCCAGCCTCTCACCACGGTCCATGTTGAGTGTGCCAGCGCCCTGGCCATAACCATAGCCTTTTGGTCCATACTTCTTTCCGTAGCAGGATTTGCAGTAGATCTCTTCATCATGAATCGCCACCGTTGTGCTGTCTAAATTTTTCCTGCAAACCACTAAGCCCCGGGGAAGACAGATTTTAAACATTGTTAAAATGTGTGTGTGTGTGTCTTTAACTTAAAGCAGCAGTGCCTTAGGCTGTCTAGGTCCCACAGTTTTTATCCTGAGGTTTCCCAAAAGCCATTAGCCAGCATCTGTCTGTACTGCCCACTTCACCTGAGGATTATGTAGCCTTCCTCTGTGGTATGTATGGTAGCTGCTTCACAAGAATGTCCAAATTTCAACATCAGAGATTCAAACTTTCCTGTATAGAATCTGCCTATTAATAGGAGAGCAGGAAGCTTTAGAAGTGCCCATTAAAAGACAGTATTACCTCTCCACTTTTAACATTCATCCTTTCTACCTTGTCACACCAAACATTGCTACATCACAACCTGATGAAGAACCAAAGAGCGGTGAGTGACTGAGTGCCTGGCAGTTGTTTCTGCTGCCCGCTTTCCTCTAAGGGCATCCTCTGGATTTAAAAAAAAAAAAAAATTAAATCCAAAATTCTAGTTTTTGTCCCCAGTCTAGAATGAGAAGAAGAAAACCCATCCTTCCCTCTCCCCACCAGCTTTCCCAGCAGTGATAAGTAGGTCTGAGACTCATCAAGTGGTTTTGGACCAGCGTTTGCGTTCCCTGTCTCAGAGGAGACTGCATTCTTTCGTGATGGATTCCTTACCGCAAGACATTTCTACAGGCCCCACTTCATAAAACTGCCAAATGTCATCATGCTATATCCAGACATTATTTCACTTTCTAAAACTTCAAATTGGCTTGAGAGGAAAAAAAAAATACATTGTGAGGGAACTCGCTGGTGGCAAATCGAGTGGGGCCGCTGGAAATCAAACCTTAGTGGAAGAGAGAGAGAGAGAGAGAGAGAGAGAGAGAGAGAGAGAGAGAGAGAGAGAGAGAGAGAGAGAGAAGATGTTTGCCCCCTTAAAAAAGAGGGAGGGGAGGTGGCTGGCTGGTTTAAAATAAAGTTAAATGCTGGCTTCCACTATATAAGATTAAAGTGTTCTCTGGAAGAATAAATTGCAGCTACTCTGGACTTGAACTTCAGACTCAATACTAAAAGGCAGTTACTTAAAAAGATACTAACTGCTTGTCCTTAAGGCCAAATAGCCTTAACACGTCGTAAAATATACACAAAATATGTTCTCAAAGACCTGTTTTAGGGCTGGGGATATGGCTCACTGAGAGAACACTTGACTAGCAAGTACAAGGCCCTAGGTTCAAACCCTAGGCCGCAAAACCAAAAAACTCCCATGTATGTTACCACGGCGTCTTTAAAACCACGACTTGCTGCCTGGCCATTCCTTTTCCCTCTGTAGCCCTAGCCTCTGCAGTGAGTTTTCAGGATCTGTGCCAGACCCTTAGTTACCTTGTTAAGGCTTCAGACAGCGGGGACAAGTATTAGAAAATAAACACTGGGTTTGTTACGGTACAGAAGAAAAGGAGAACGGTTTCTAAAGTATTTGCATTTCAGATTTCCAACATTTTGTTTATTTACTTGCCTGTTGAAATCCAGATTCCCTTAAAAAAAAAATGGAGAAAAAAAAAATCCACTACCTTGGAAAAGAAACAGTTCTACCAAATCTGAGCCGTTATGAAGTCACACCCCCCCTCCCCCCCAAAAAAATAGCATGTGTAATGATTTTACTTTTCATAACCACGGCTTTTCTGTTAGTTTTTACTGTCTGTGAAACACACATACTATTACACGGGTCCAGACAGCTTGAATGCCGACATCTATGGAAATGAGAAGTCACATTTAAAAGTTTCTTTCCTGAAGTTCAATTCTTAATGTAAGCAATTTTTGGAGACAGGGTCTCCATATCTTCTCAGTGTCACCTAACTGGCTTGGAATTCCCTCTGTAGACCAGGCTGGCCTCAGACTCAGATCCGCCTGTCTCTGCCTCCCCAGTGCTGGGTTTAAAGACGTGGGCCACGCACCGGCCCAGAGAATTTATGTTTAAAATGTAGCTGTTTACAGTACTTTTCACTGTATAATCTATAAGTAAGGCAGATCTTTGCATGCGTGGATCCTTCATTAAAGAAAGTTCTATTGTTTGACTTGTGGTGAATTTCTCAGGCCATGAGGCTACAGCTTTTGAAATGACATATGTGTCTTCTGAAGGGTTTTTTTTTTTTCTCCCTTGTTTCTCTCATGGGGTGTTTATTCTTCAGAACACACAGGTGTTTTTTTATGCCCTACTTCCTTCTACACCACACACCTAATAAACAATGCTAATCTTAGTGTGCCTGGAGGGACCTAGGTATCCTATAGTCTTCTTCCAAATTAAAAATACTAATTGTCGTAAGCAACTAAAAATACCGTAGAGCAGAGATTCTCAACCTGTGGGTCGCGACCCCATGCCCTCCCCCATATCAGATTTCCTGTGAATCAGATATTTACATTACGATTTATAACATTGTAATGAATCATAACTGTATGGCTGGGGTCATCACAACACGAGGAACTGTATTATAGGATCACAGCATTTGGAAAGTTGAGAACCGCTGCCCTAGAAGGTCAAATTAGAAGGTTCTGAAGAAACCAAGCTTGTAGACTCTGAACTTCAGCCCTTGGTGTGGTAAGAATGTCAGAAAGGAACCCAGCTAGAAAGAGAAAACTGGCAAAGATCAACTTATTAACCAAACCAAGCCAAACACACAGGGTGTGCCAGAAACTTTTGGTAGGGTGCCAGACTGTCTTGGGGACACAGAGGTGACAAAGGCAAAGGCCAAATGGCCAGAACTGAGGGATGGGTGGTCTTTGACAAAACCCTGTCACACTAAAACTATTACTCTTAGCTAGTGTTAATTTTCTTTGAGGTAAACTGGAGCTTTTCACAGAGCAGTTTCGGAGGGGGCGGGGCCCATACTTACTGCACAGAAAGCAGCAGCGGTGGAAGCTCCGCCCATCACACTGCACCTCCTCCGCGTGGTACACGGTTCTCCCGCAGGCCCCGCACTTATTTCCACCGCCCCAGACAGGCATTCTGCGGAACAAAGGATACATTAGGATGCTTGTTTTACGAGTTCCCTACGGGCTGTTTCAGCCCAGGAGACGGTGCAGATCGTGCTTCGTGATCCACCCAAACCACATCTTTCAGAGAGGCCTGCGTTCCTCCAAAATAGCTCCAGCTCCACTCCCAAATTATAGCTCTCATTAGGAAACTGGCTCAGACAGCTTCTTTTTTTTTTTTTTTCCTTCCTTTTTTCTAGAAGACAAAGGAATCTTTGCATCCAGTGCAAGAGACAGGTCACCAAAGTACAATGCAGAATAAGCCCCTAGAATTCCCAGGAATCAATACGGGAGTGGAGAGGCAGACACTGCCCTCTCCCACACCCAGTTCTTAATGAGCCTTTGAAAAACTCAGCTGGGAAGTTTACATTTAAGTATAGTTCTTTGCTACATGTTTATTTAATTCTCTGCACAGACACTCGATTCTTAACATGTAATGTAGATAAGCGATGAACATACTCGTATGTACCTGACAGTGTGTTCAGTCCAATTACAGCTCACATAGATTTCTGTGGCTTAGTACAATCGCACGGAAGCCCCACGGTCACCACGACAAACATGTCCGGATGGCTGCCAAGTAAGTTAATGTGCACTTCACTAACCCCAAAAGCCAACCGTTGGTTTCCCGACTCTGGTAGGTTTGTCAGGCCTACAGAAAAGGCTATCAAGTCCCCTCTCCACGGCAGTGACTGTCAAAGTATGTGGGGACAAGCCTCCAAACATGGTCTGATGTGATGTGAAATCCCAGACTGTCTATGATGTAGGGGTAAACCTTCTCTAATCCCCCTTAGCAAACTGGCCTCCTGGGACGGCTTAACTGGCTGGTTTCTGGATGCCAGCATTCTCCACTGCCTGGGCCACTACACCAAGGCAGCCTGCTAAGAAGGGACCTTGTTTCTGAGGTCCCCTGACTGGTATCTACCAACACTGTTTTGGGCTTCCCTTCTGTGAGGGGTATTTGCAGTCTTTGCCTGCTAAGTTTCTGGATATGGCCCTTGGCTCTTTAGAAAGTGGCTAGTTATAGAAGCTGACATTTCCTTTATAAATATAAATCTAATTAGAACAGAACCTAACAGAAGTTCTGGTAAGCAGGGGAAAGCTTGAATCTTTGCCCTTAAAAGGAGGTGATTTCCCATACAACCATTAAAGTGGGTCCAGACCTCTATTAGGTTTCCTGACAATACTTTTATTAAATATTTATACAATTAATACGAGATGCTTTGTCTGTCTTCTGGTTACCACCCTAGACTTTTATCCATCATAGCACGGAGGAACATGCTATGTTAACATCTCTCTTAGCTCACAGAGGTTTGAAAGGACCAGTTCAAGCTGAAATTCAGGCAAGTGTTTAGAAACTTGAGTTTGAGTGTCTGCCACTAGTGGTTACCAAAACTTAGGCCGGAATTTCTCCAAGCAGCACCATTACGGGGTGGGGCCCCAGTGGTAGTATGCGGCTCCAGGAGGTTCCATGATTACACATTCAGAGGGAGTGAACTAATTCTCACAAAAGAGACCAGTTAGAAGGCACCTCCCCATCCTCGATGTATAAACTCACCAGTTTATTACCATACGTGGGACAGCAGAACTATTAGCTAAAACAAACTCCTTTATCATGTAACCCAGCTTCAGGTATGTTATAGCAAAAGCAAATACACCAAAGAGTTAATGCTACGCCGCAATGACCATGAGTGTGCTTAGTCATCTTCTGTTTCAGGAAAACCTACTCCTGGTACACAATAACGTGTCATCAAAGGGGCCAGGAGACAGAGGCAGAGCAGACAGATCCCGCATTGTACAATGCAGGCTTTATGGACAGAAGCATGTTTTTGGCAATAACAAGAAAGGATGAGCCCCACGCGCGCTCACCCCCTCCCCCACCAGGCAGGAGGAAGGGGCTTCCATGCTGAGCCAGACAGACGGGCTCTGGCCAACCAGAATATATCTGGAGTTTCTCAAAAGCCCTGATATCTGCAATGCCTGCTAAGAAACCATCCCAGCATCTAGTGTCTTGTTTATGGTGTAGGAGGTTGGGCTCATGCCAGGTCACTTAGTGAGCAAAACAGGTCATATCAGCAGGATCCCTGCATAAAGGGTCACCATACACAGCTTGAAAGCACTGGTTTCCGGGGCGCTGACCCTGCTGGTCTTAGCCTGTTTTGTGCTGCTGTAACAGATTGGGGGTGGATGATCTGTAAAGAACAGACATGGATTTTCTCAGAATTATCAAAGCAGTAAAATCCAAGGTGCTGGTAGTCTTGATGTCTGGTGAGGGACCCAGGTCCCTGCTTCTAAGATTGTGTCTTCAACACAGAGACACATGGCAGAAGAGCAAGAAAGAAAACCCATTCCTCAGCCTTTTTATAGTGCCATTAATCCATTTAGTCCTCAACTGGTTGTGCCCTGCCTCCCTGGGGATTGAGTTTCAACAGGCATTCTGGACCAAACCAACCACTCACACCATGGAAACCCTCAACCAGGTATGAACACAAGACCTCCTTCAGCTCAGTGAAAGGTAAGCCCAGAGCTGTGCTTTAGAACAGGGTGAATACAGAGTGCTGGCTACTGTAAACAAAAGACCCAGGGCCCCATGGTCCAGACTAAGAAGAGAGACTGAGTCTGTGAGCCCCTGATTTGACTGTACTCAACTTCTTCCGAACCACTGAACTTGATTTTCAAACCATGTGAGATCAGAGCCTGCTCCTTAAAATAAACAGATTGAACACACAAAGGTCTTCCACACAATGAACGACCTGACTGATATCACTTGCTAGCACTAAGTCGTGGGTATCGATTTGCAAAAAGAAACTACTTCTGCCTAGACAGGGATAAAAGGAGTCCAAGGGTCTACAAATGTTACAAAGCTTACCATGAAGCCATCCACTCCGGCTTTCTCTTTTGATGTTGTGTCTCTGTCTTATGCCCTTCTGTGCAAACAGACACTTCTTTGTTTAAACTCTGACTGAAACTTCAGCCTGACTATAAACCCAAGACACAGAATACTAGCTCCAGCAGCCTGCAGTGGCTTGGATTTGCAGTACGATTAGTGATTGTGACCGACTTCCCTTGCCTCTAAGGTTACCTGCCTGTGTTCTGCAGTGCTCATGGGTGTGAGAGGCATCTGCTGGAGGGTCCCTCATGAGACCTAAGGAGACCAGAGGTCATATAAGACCAGGCTTATAGGTACTCAGTTGGCTACTGAGACACTACTGTTATCAAGGTGTGTCCCATCATATTAAGCACCGGCAATTTAATATCATCCTGGTAGCCAGCCTATTTTTTTTTTTTTTTTTTGATCCTGGACTCTGTCTTTGGAGCAATCTCAATGAGGAAACAAGAGCTCCATCAAGACCAAGGTTAGATCAACTTGTCCTTGAATGACACTCAGACATATTTAACTGACCACTTACATTGCTCTGTCCAGTGAAAAGCAGTCCGGATTTCATTTGTTTAAGGAGTAAATACATCCCCCCTCTTCATGTGGTAGCAGTTAGCATAAATTCACTTAGAAGTCCGTTCTGACACAGGTGTGCCTGCCACTGCAGCCAAGTGTGAGCATGCCTGTGTTCAGGAAATACCCGGGCCTTCTACAGAATCCTGCTTACGATGTTCTTAGTTTTTCTGCTTCTACTATATCTTGGTTTTCTCGATCTTGCTACCAGTCAGTGTGGCTTGTATCTAGACATTCAGGTCCCATCCATCTTAAGGGTTTTCGGAAGGATTTTTGAAGAACCTCTTCTTTGCTATAGTTGCTATAGGCAAAAAAACAAAAACCCCACATCCCTAGGAAAGCCTCAGTCAGACTTATGTTCTCTGTTTCAGGAAAACCGATGGGTAGTTATAGTCAATTGCTATGCGTTTTGTATGTATAACCATTCTATTAATACAAAGAAAAGCAGAGAGACAGGCTGGTTTGGGCTTTTTTTTCCCCCTCCAATGTTGCACTTTTCTTATAAACCTGGGAGGGTAGTTCCCACAGAGATACCGTGAAGATAAAATCCTACATCCGTAAGAAAACCCAGAGAACAACCTTCAAACAGCATAGCTGTAAAGCCGCAGTTTTTTTTCTTAAAAAAAAAAAAGGAAAAGGAAAAGAAAGACAAAAAGAGAAGCTTAGCTGATTAGTCACTCATAAGCATCTTTGCTGAGCATTACAGCGTGTAACAACTGTCCCGCCCCCAGCACTGGCTGTCTAAAGAAATGAAGTTCAACTTCACACATTTTGTCTGAACCCCTATGGACGGGACCTGCACTTGGCAAGAGAGCGCACGATAACCTTCCGTTTCTGTCGCTCTTGGCATTTCTGTGCATATTTTGAAGAAATGTGAAGCTTCCTTTTCCCTCCGAGCCCTTGGCTCGGCGCCTCCACGACAGCTGCCGTTAATCAGAGCAGACCCGATCTGCACGGAGCAATCTGCGCTGCGTGCCTTCCCCATGCCCACGTGCTCACTTACACAGTGTTAAGAGCACAGATAAATCCCCACTGTCCACACAGTGTCGGCCAAACAGTGTCGGCTTTTCCTGCGTTTTAGTCTTCTTCTTGGGTTTTCAATGTAACTTTTAGAACTAGAGGTTATCCTTTGCACTGGACTAGACGGCCTGGTTTACACGTCAATACCAAGGTAAAACTTTTCCTGCTCTTCCTGCTTATCCTCAGGCTAAACCACCAACCCAAATCCAACAGACCTACCCTTCTGAGACAGGACTGGAGGCTGGAGGCTAAATCTTACTCACCAGGTGTGACTTTCTTACTCTTTTCTTACTCTTTAGGGAACCTATAAAACCTACAAAGGGACCTCAGGGGTCAAGGCTGTCGCGCTCGCGCTCTCTCTCTCTCTCTCTCTCTGATCTATTTTTATTTTATGCACATGTTTATGTATTGGGTACAGTGCCTGTAAGGCCAGAAGAGGTCAACAGACTTGTGGAACTGGTATTTCAGCTGGTTTTGAGCCATCACATGGGTCCTGGAAACTAAAC